TCTGTAGCATAGGCCTACATCAGGGCATGCACATTTTCATAGAGCGTTTTCATATTTGGCAATTCCATCCCTCAGTACCTTTAATTATGCCAAATAACCATGTGTAACATCATAAGCCATTAAGAGTATACAAAGAAGGTAGGATGTAATTAATACTATAACCTTTGATGACTCCCATCCTTCTCTCCAGAAACTTCAGTGAGTATCAACCAACCAGCATACATTTAGGGATTTTGTTCTTTCTGTTGTATCTCACTGCCCTAACTCATATTTTACTATTCCCCTGGCCTAGGCGAGATAGAAGAAATCAAATGAAATTCAAGTTGGGTTTCACAGACAATAAACATGCATTATGAATTTGAAAAATACTGTTGGAAGCACACTATGCTCGTTGAGTATATATTTTAGAAGAATTTCCTCTAAGACATTTTATAACTAAAGCCATAATCTGGAAACATTCACTTTCCTGAGATTTAGAATTTTGTGTGGTTTCATGAAATATTCACTTAAAAAAACACAGCCCAGACTTACAGCTTCTGATTCACACAATTTAGGTAAAAGACATCTTTTCAGTTGGAAAAACAGCTAAATGCTACTAATCCTTATAACATATGCAGAGAATGGCGGCCACAATGAAAAATCTGCTTCAACTAATTCCTGAAATACAGTATTTGTACCTTTTAGACATTCCTACTTTAATCCTTATTTTCCCATTTTTGACTCTAAAGATTTAAGAGACCCCCCCAATCCACTGTCCTACTCATAATCCCCGTTACGAGGTTCAGTCCCAATGTATCACTCTCAGCTCTCTAGGTCTCAGTTCTGGCCTCAGTGGAACCAACCTGCCAGGGCTGCTTATACCCAGTGATGAACTCTGTGTCTTATTGGAATCAAAATACTCAGATTGTGAAATTTGCATAGGTATAAATCTATGGCCAGGCCAGGTGTGCTGGTGCACACCTATAACCCCAGCACTAAGGAGGCAAAGCCAGCTTAGTGAGTGTAGAAGTCAGATGTGTATGCTTAGTTGCACGCCTGTCAAAACTACAAGTATGTTAAATGCATTAAAAACAAACACATTAGGGCTGCCTAACTTACATATGGGTGAGGTAGCGAGGGGAGTAACTATATCTTGGGTCAATATATTACATTGCACTAACATTGAACACCTCAAACTTTCACAGCCTCATGATACCTGTCTCTGTGATGAAAAGTTAAGTGTCTGTCTGATCTTACTATGACTTGCTTGCAGAGATTAATGTACAGTAGCTATAGGGAGCCCAGGGCAAATGAGACCAAGGCTCTTCTTCATTTACCCACCTGCCTATACTTGCAGCACACACAACTGTGTAACTCTAGTAGCTTGCATACTAGATTTAATCTGCAGTGATAACCTAGGCAAGGCACTAGCAGAGAGAGACAGTCTCCATAATTATGCTAACATGACCATCAACATGCCCACCTGGAAAACAGGTACCGTACCCATCTTCTATCCTAAAGAAGTAAGTGTGGAAGCATAGGAGTTGGTGAGTGTAGGGATAGAAAGGTTTAATTTACAGAGCTTAGATCATTTTACACTTGATAAGCTCTCATTACTCTGAGTAATTCTATAGTAACTGTAACTCAAAAAGGCCACATCTGGTTGTTTTTCAGGGGGCTGAAGGTAGCATAGTTCACTATAGATTTCATTCTCCTATATCACCTACCTTTTAGTGCAGGACTTTTCTGCTCCTGGGATTACTAGTCTGCATATTTAAAATCTCTTACTTTGTACAACTAATTTGGTTTCAATACCTACAAAAACAAACATTTGAAATGCATGATAGGATGTGAATTTTCACTTACCTTTTCTGCTGACTGTGCAGTGCCAAAAAAGATTGGAATGAAGGCGAGCCATACGATACACGTTGTGTACATAGTGAATCCAATGGGCTTGGCTTCGTTGAAATTCTCCGGTACACCCCGAGTCTTGATGGCATACACAGTGCATGTGACCATGAGAAGAATGCTATATCCCAAAGAGCAAATGATCTGCAGATCTGTAATGTCACATTTGAGGACCCCTCTGGCCTGCTCAGGGTTCATGGTCTTATGTTCATCATAGTCTACGATGATATTTGGTGGGTCCACACCAAACCAAATAAAAACACCTAGAAGTTGAACTGATATTAAACTGGAAGTGATGGCCAGCTGTGACGTTGGGCTTATGAGTCTGGGAGCTGTCACTGATTTCTTGCCTTGCTCAAATATGCGATAAATCCGATTGGTTTTTGTCAAAAGGGCTGCGTAACTGATGCACATCCCCAAACCCAAGAAAACTCGCCGGAAAGAACATACTGCCACATCAGGCTTGGCGATCATCAGGAAAGTGATGGTGTAGCAGAGGAAGATGCCTGTCAACAGAACATAGCTGAGCTCCCGCCCAGATGCCCTCACGATGGGTGTATCATTGTAGCGGATGAAGGTAGCCATGACAAAAATGGTGGCAATGATCCCCAGCATCGCCAGGAAGACAGGGATGACAGCCCAGGGGGAGTGCCACTCCAGTTTGATGATGGGGATATTCTGGCAGCCAGTTCGATTTTCATTGGGCCGTTGGTCATAGGGACAGTGCTGGCATGTCATCTCGTCAAACTGATATTGGTACCCATCACAGGGCTCACAGGTCCAGCAGCAAGGAGTACCCTTCTGTGTCTTCTTCCTCTGCCCAGGCTTGCATGGCAGTGTGCACACTGAGGGTGGGATCTCCCGGACGCCTTTACCCCACTGCATGTCCTCTATCTGCAATATAAGAAGTAAGAAGTATAAATAACAGGCAGGTCATTCAAAAGAAAAGAGCCAGACACAGAGGCTCACACCTATAATCCTAGCCACTCAGGAAGTAGAGATTGGGAAGCTCACAGTTTAAAGCTAGCCCTGGCAAAATGTTTGTGAGACCCCATCTGAACAGATAAAAGCTGGGTATGGTGGTATCCACACCTGTCATCCCAGCTACATGGCAACATAAACAGGAGGGTCAATGTTCAGGCCAGTCCCAGCATAAACATGAAAGCTTATTGAAAAAAATAACTAAAGGAAAAAAGGCTGTGAGCATGGCACAAGTGGTGCCTGCCCTGAGTTAAAAACGCCAATATTGCAAAAATAAAAATAAGTAAATAAATAAAAAGGAAAAAGAAAAAAAAAAAACCCCAACAATAGCAAGTGGTAATCATAGCAGCTAACACTGCAGGCGTGTGAGATCAGATGGCTTACCCTTTCCTGGTACTGCTAGTGAGAGCTGACTCCACTCTCCCCAGTCTTTACCAAGGTAGTGTGTTCCAAACGTGCCTGATCATAAGAATTACCTGAGATAATAATTGAACATATAAATTCTATTCATGTCTGTGACTCCAAAAAATCAGAGTACCTAGAAAGGCTTCTTGGGGTCTGGAATTTTAACCAATACCCAGATACTCAAACGAGCCAATAGAGAAGCATGGCAAGCGCTCTACTGCCTCTCCCTGGTCGGTGAGAGCAACTGTCCCAAGTCAAGTGGAAAAAACCCAAACATTGGTAATAAGAAAAATTACTCTTCTCTCTGACTAGGTGTTTTTGTTACAAACTTATTTAAAAATTATTTTAGACAATATCTCCGTGACAACTACCTTCTCAAAAATTCTGTAACATTCCCTAAAATTATTGGCATTGAGAACTTTTGAAAGAGTGATTGTGTCCTATTTCTCACCATGGGACTGGGAGGCTCCTTATCCAAAGCCTCCACTGCATAGGACGGTATCCCTGAGCTAAGCCAGCAATTGGCGAGAAACAGAGTGTCTGGAAGCCTTGCAAGACTGGCCAGTCACCTGCTTGGACACAGAATCCCAGCGGCATCACTGTCTCCCAAAGGAGGAAGGAATAATGGGTTTCTGGGAGAGAACCCACATCAGCAGTGTTTGGAGAAAAATAACAGCATTAAATATGTTATTACTGAGCTGAAATCTCACTGGCCTGGCATCCCTTCTTCTTGCCAGCACATCTGCTATTCATCTGTCCTGCTGTCAGCATTTCTGGTTTCTTTCTGATTTTCTTGCTGTAGCCATCAAACTACACTCAAGCTCGTGGGCGTGTGTGCAACCCAGGCCTGGACAGTTAGTCCGCTGTGGTGGCCTTCAGACTTGAGTATGCAGCTGAATGACTTGAGGACTTGTGGCAACAGCTTGCTAAGCCCCATCCCTGGGTTTTCTGATCCACTAAGTCTAGAATGGGGCCTGAGAATGTGTGTTTCTAACATGCTCCCAGGTCACGCTGCTGAGAATGGGCTAGGAGCCACACGTTTGCAACCGTTGATACATTCCAACCTCCTAGACACAGGCACTAGACCAAGAAGGAGACCCCCGTGTCTCTGTGAGAAGTTAATTTTGTCACTTTTTCTGAGATTCCATGGGATAAAAATCACTATCTTTGCTGGACTTGGAGTTTTCAGGACAGAAAGTGGCTGGCATTCATGGGTATAAGGAAAGAATTTGTCAGAGAATGAAGCCAACACACAGGAAAGTAGAATAGAAAGAGGAGGGTTACTGGTGAAGCTGTTTAAGGTCCTGGGTATAGCTAGGCCTGAAGCAAGAGCTGCCTTAGACTACACCATTATATAAGTCAGTCAATATACCCATACTAAAATCCTATGAGTTTCATTTCTGTTGCTTGCAGTCAAGAGTCCTATGCAATATATGCACTAAATTCAGTCTCAATACTCCCAAGTTAAAAGAGAAGGAACTGTCAGCAAATTATTTTACAGAATAAATTCCAATTAACAAATATGGCTAAGTTTCCCTATACCTACGTAATTGCATTTTTAATATAATTGAACAAAAAATAGGTTAGAAAAAAAAAGACAACAGTCTGCGATAATTTTTTTTCAATGAATAATTTGAAGAGGTAAGGGGGAAAACAATAGCTTACTCTCACCTGAACGTCTGTTAACACAAGATGCAGTACACAATGGGGCGGGGTGGGGGAGGTGTCGTCAACACTTGAGTATGAACTGCATTTGAAATCTGAATCAAAATGAGCTCATTTAATCCTTTATAAAAAGTATATGGCTCGGGGATTGAGCTTCATAAAATATTATAACCTTCCAATGGCTGAATTTATACTTTAACCAGAGCCCCGAGAATCTTCAGATGACTTCAGTGTGAACTCATTTGCCTGAGCACAAAACCCAAGTCAGCAGTAATACATCTACCTAAATATAAAACATCTTCACATCATCATTTTTGAGGCAGTAAGTCACTGGCAGCCATCCCAAAGCCATAAAATTAAGGAAATAACTTGTAGTAAGAGAGAAAAAGATATGCACTAACTTTATAAATGTCAAAATGTAAGAACTAGGACTATTTTTAAAAATTGCTATTATTAAGACAAATGTTTTCAAATGTCAAATTAAAAGGCCCTAGTGTGGTTACTTGAAAAGATTAACAAAAGAAAGCAATAAATACAATTCATTAGTTAAATTTCTAACTAATGATTCCAGCATTCACAGATACCAATGAATCATACGATTATACTTGATTGGTGGGAATAAATGTAGGGCTTGCACGAATATCAAAACAAATTATCATCATATGTAATATTTTACAGCCAATTTCAAATGTTGCCAGCAAATTGATTTTTTTTTTCCCCCTCTTGGAATAAAATTGAATGCCTGGCAATGCTGAAAGGCTTTTTTCTCAACTTATCCAAATATATACAAGAGCTGTAACTACAAACATTATGTTGACTGATTACTTAATTTGTTTTCAATTTTCATTTAAAGTAGATTTCAACTCAGTTTAATTGTATATATTAAGCCAACAAAGTTGCCTCTTAGTCCAAATGAATAAAAGTCTAATTTACTCGCTTTGCCCTCAAACATCACTGTTGAAAACATATTCTGTGTCCTATGAAGATAGAAGCTAACCTTTAAAAGTTCTAGTAAATGAGAATTTTGTTAAATTGATGCACACTTTTTTGTGTGTATCTATAGTCATCTATCTACACAGATATGATTCTTTGTTTTATAAGAACAGTAAGCTACAAATGCCCAGGGAATCTATACAAAGATGCCAATCATTACAGCTATGAAAAACCAAATATAATGTCACTGTACTTTGCAAAAACTATCAGGAATACAAACATCAAATTTCCGCTGAACTCTGCAATAAAACTGTGTTTTAACTAGCTGGAAAGCCAAATTTAAGGTGCGGAAAATGCCTGGGATGTTTCTTTGTTAAAAGATACAGACTTCCCACATAAGGATGCACATTTCCCCTGGAAAACCAAAGGTCATGGTTATTTGATATGCGATGTGCTCAGGAGCTGGTTCCCCGGGAAGACCTGCTGAGATCCTAATTCTAGGTTAAGAGAACCGAACTTTGCATTTTGTCACAATTCATGGCATACAGATTGTATGGTAAGTGGATCATTTGTTTAGGAAAGAGCAAATTATGTAGTTCTGGCCATTAAAAGCAATAATAAGACTGCTGTGGAATCCTAGGTAAGAGTACTTTTTTTCTTGAAAAGAGAGCTACAAAGAAGGGATAGTTTTTCTTTAGCTTTTGAACTTTGATGTATGCAAACACAGTGCTTGGGGCTGTAGCAGCTGTTTTACAACCCATAATGACAGAAGTCTAAGAAACAGAGCTTTTAGGCTGAGGATGACAAAACAAACAAACAAAAATACAAGCACACATAAAAAGAATATGGGTTTCATAGCATAATCACGTCACCAAATGAACACTGCTACTTTGCCCTGGTATCTTGAACGTGAAATCATGAACTTTCCTTAATGGCTATCCAGTTGAATCAAGCATTCTTAGAAATAAACACTTTGTGACTTCTATATTTGATACACACTGACCCTCTAACACAACTGGACAATTTGCCAACGATTCAAATTCTTGCATAGATGTAACTGACTTGTCCAGAATCACACATTATGAGAAACGCTTGTCTTTGTTTCCTGAAAATGCTAAAAAAAAATGGATGGTAAATATTGGATTTGGAGAATCAGCTTTGCCTAGAGGTGAGGCTCAAGTGGTAGAGTGCCTGGCACTGAGGTTTGGTAGAGCTCAAACCTCAGTGCCACCAAAAAAGAAAACCAGTTTTGATTCCATTGCTTCTGGCTCAGCCAGAAACAGTGAAAAAGCATTAGCTAAGTAAAAATTTCTCTAGCCCACATGTTTGGTGGGGAAGACTGGGGGTCTAGCCCTAGTATAGAGAGCTACCCCACAGGGAATCTGCAGACATTATCATCACTAGAATTTTAAAATCAAGGCAAATCTGTTTCAGTCATACTGCCAAACACAAAACCTAGAAGCTTTTTATAAACACTCACCAATAGATCCATTTTTATCTAGAAGAGAGCTGTTCCTTTTCTTACACAGATACTTTGTATCTAAAAGAAAAATTTCTTACTCCAAGAATATTTTTCTTACTGAAATTCCATTTGCATATTTTTAAAACTTACTCTGCAAACTAAGCTGGCTGCTGCTTTAACTGCATAGCTCTGTACAATATTATTTTTACTTATTAGAACCTTAATAGAATGGGCTCGTTTACTAAAAGCTTTCCTATTAAAATACCATTTTTCATTAAAATACATTCATCCTCTCTGTTTTATGGGTGAAAAAGAAACTTTTTAGGAAAAATTCACAGGAATGTTGAATTTTTCAATACTAGGTAAGAGCCAGCTTTGGTTCTGGGGAGGAGCTGGCAAGGTAGAGGCAGGTAAGAACTTGACAAGAAGTTCTGAAGCATCTCAATGT